ATTGCAAGAAGCTCACCCATGGCATTCCTCAGAAAGCACAGGGACCTATCAGTGCATGATAAACGATTTCTAGCTTTGGTTTATGCCATAAAATGGTGGGACAACTAACTTAATGGAGACATTTCATCAACCAAATTAATCACTGGAGTCTAAAGTATCTCCTCGAGCAAAGACCACCAGCAATCAGCAGCAGAAGAAAACATTGCTGCCAATGCTTTATCAAGGATTTTGGGAATCAAATTATTGAATTATTTGCTACGGTTGTCTTAACAGCTTATTCTAGTTTACTTCCAGATATTTAACCTTCACGGGACAAGGATCCTCACTTAAATAGTTTTAGACAATATCAGCGCTGGCATGCCTCTCACTGGGTCTAAGACTTCAGAAAGGGAATTACTATAGAAAAAGGAAAGGCTGGCTGTAGACGAGGAACTACAGCACAAGTTCATCACCTTATTTCACTCTTAACCCTGCAGGTAGATATTTGGGTCAAACAAAATTTTTTTTTAGAAGACTTCAGTCCTTCCTCATTAGTTCCGGGATGGATAAAGACATTAGGAACTTTATACGCCACTGTCAGGTCACCGAAAGAAGCAAACCTGAAAAAATTCGTATACCCTTCCAATCTTGAGTACAGTTTTTGAATTTATTGACAGTCTCCCATTCCACCTTCCCAGGGCAAAGATTCTACCTTTGTTGTTGTTACATTATGAAAGAAATATGCCTACTTCCCAGCCCTTAAACACGCCTATACTGCCAAGACAGTTGCACAAGTCTACCTAGACAACATCTTCAAACTCCATGGCCTTCCCACCAGTATCATTAGTGATCATGACTATTTTCTCAGCAACTTTTTGGAAATAACTACTTCAGCTGCAGGGTATTAAGGTGCTTCACTCCACTGCCCAACACTCCCAAACTCCAGTTGCATAAATATGGAAACTATTTCCGCTGCATGACCAGTGAAGACCTTAAACGATGGGCCAGTTAGCTATCGCTTGCAGAGTACTGGTAAAACAGCACAGAAAACTGCTACACGCTCTACTCTCTCGAGGTCCTATATGACTAGACCCTTCCACCATATTTGTCCTATTTCCATGGTGATTCCAACGTTGATTCAGTGGATCGTTTTCTTACTTATCGTGAGCACACCCTCTCCCTACTCAAATACAAACTCACTCGAGCTCAAAATCGTAAAAAACAACAGGCTGATAAACATCGGACATATCGCCACTTTGTCCCTGCTGACTTTTTCTACTAAAGCTTCAGCTTTATCGCAAACAATCCTTCCACTCTCGAGCTAACGACGAGACATCCCCTATGTACTATGACTCTTATCGAGTAGTCATGGAAACTTTCAAGGCTGCTTATAAGCATCCAACTAGAAGACAGCCACCAGTACAATAACGTCAACTTCCCCGAAGTGGATGACCTCCACAACCCTAAACCAACAGCCATGTTCACTGGCAGATTGGTCAACAGGGTCGTGTAGTAGCAAACAGTGAACAGGCGTGAGGCCCGAGGATGCCAGTAGACATGAGGTTTTCGACATCCAACAAGACTATCAAACATCCTCAGCCTTGAGACCAATAATGATTATACAAAGGGAGATGCGATAAGTAAATTCGAAGGAAGAGTTGAGAGCAGTAAATGAATGAGTAAAGGAAATTCGTAAGAAGGATAGAATTACCTGAATCGATGAAAGGAAAAGAAAATTGACGAGTGAAGAAATCCTCCACCTTCTCCTCTGTTGCGATTCCTGTAAGTTTTTGGGTGGAGAAGCAAATTGAGACAAAAAGGCGCAGAGTTTATATGACTATATGGATGGAGATACGGGAAAGTAAAAGCGCGGGGATTCACTCTCCCTTCCACCGATTGATTTACCCGGAAAAAAATCAAATAAATTAATATATATATGTATGTGTGTGTGTATGTATACATATTTATAACCGCAAGTGTATATATATATATATATATATATATATGTATACATCAAAATCGCGAGGACGGCACGCAACTGGCTTTTTTAGTTTTTTTAAAAAAAATTGGACTAAGAATCTTATGTGGTACGGGAGATTAAGATGAATATATAAATTATGTTGAAATCTAATATGTTAAGATTAAATGCTATATTTAGAAAAAATTATATATTTTATTTCTAATTTTATAAGCATAGAAATTTTTTAATAACTTATAAATTTTGATGAATTATTGGATGCTTTATTTTAGTAAAAGTTTTTGAAAAATTATATTTAAACTGAATACATACAGTAAAAATAATAAAATTAAAAATTGATTGTTCTTACATTCTATTTTAAAATAAATTTAAAAATTTTGGTACATTTTTTGAAAATAATAAAATTAATAGTATAATAATAATTTTTAAAAAAAATTTATCTAAATGAATAAAATTTAAAGTAACATATGAATAATTCTTTTTTACAATAATAAAATTTCATAGAGTTAATCAGGTGGCGAGAGAGGCAAGAGATTATGAAATAGAAGGCATGGCCCGCCGGGAACATATTCCACTCTGACCAACTACGTTGACAATAACTTCATTCCAAAAAAATAAATCAACTAAATTGCGTTGACTGAAAACAATTTAATTATTATTATTAAATTTATTAAAAAATTTATTAATTACTCTTTTTTTTTCTAATAATAGAAAATGGAAAAAAAAATAATAATAAAAAAATGTTTTTTTTTTTTTTTTGTGAATGAATAACTAACATGATCTCGTCTTAAAAAGACATTAAAATAATGTATTAGAACACACTTACTTATCAAGTCAATTAATTAATTAATGGGTGATATCATTTATTTGCAAACATGTCGGTCTACAATAATATTTGAAATATTTAAATATATATAATTAAAGTTATAACATTCTTTAATTTATTTAAAATAATAAATATTTTATTTAAAATTTATCAATTGTAAAAATAAATAAATAATTATTCTTTAAAAATTTATTAGCAACATTTGATAATGTTAAGTCAATATCAAGAAAATAGTTAAGTAATGTTATTAATAAAAAATACGAATTACATGCTTACTATTTACATTTTTTAAAATCACTTTTGAGAACTACATAAGCACCTTGATTTTATGTTACAAACAAGAAAATTCAAATAAGGTGTTTAAAAAAACAATTCAAAATACCCTCTTAAGCGTCCTTGACTTTGGGGGTTTTTTTAATAGATTTAAAATATTTATTTTGGAAAACATATGCGATATTCTCTTTACAAATAGTGTAATAGATATTAGTATTAATTTTCAGAACTAATATATTCAACCTTTTCGCAGTTCCAACATTTTGACCCGTCTTTTGGCTGCGTCTGCATTTCCAATCGGCACCACTTTGGCGACTACAGAGCTTTAAAACGAGCTGGAAATTCTGACTATGGAACAAATCATACGTAAGCAATCTCTTTAGAATTATTTACAAGATTGCATTTAGACCAAATGCATACAAAAAAGAATGACAAAAAGAGTAGGAACAATAAATTCCCAAATGAATTTTACAATCTTTTTGCAAAATTTATTAGAGTAAATGGCATAAATGGCTTTCTTCCAGCAAAACATGAGGATTCCAAAGCTTGTAATGCAAACAATTTTCATTTTGTTTACCAAATTGGAAGGTCATTGGATCTCCTTCGACGAATAAAAATTCATCTTAACGCAAAAAGGACTCTGGTTCATTACCTTTTATCTTTCACAAACTTAAAGTCAGCCAAATCAAATGTTATATTATGGATGTTCCAAAATGATCTTATCTGAGTATCATCAATAATTTTTCCTGAACCAAACCCTCAAATTAACCACATTCCCTTTTATTGGTAGGCTCTCTACAGCATTTTCCTAAGGTATAACGTCAAAGGTTGACCAAGAAAAACTTGGCAATACTCATGACCTACTTGACTTATGACGTACTGTGACTCCATGCAGGAGGAGAATACTTATAACCCAAATAGATAAAAATGTCAACTACCTCAACACATCCAATCATCTTTGCGTGGTTTGCCCGCAACAATTTGCTTAGTGGGAATTAAAAACCAACCACAAGTATATCTTCCATCATCATGCTCATGACTTCACCTTTTTTCCAGTCGTTCAGTAATGTCAGATTTGACAGGATATGTTATTGTTTCAGATTAATGGCCATTTAGTAAATAGATGCATTTTATTTGCCTCCCAAAATGTATGTTTACAGCACACGACTTGCAGTTTTTCTACATATAAAGCCAGATTTTATTTCCTCTTATCATAAATTTGCCTCTTACCATATACATATACATTGCCTGGTAAGTCGGCCAACTTCGTTGAATGTGTCCAAGTGCACCATTAGATATAACCCCACAGTGGATTCTATTTATCCTGCCCAAGTACAGAGCACCCACATCTCAGTATTAATTCACCTAAACATCTGTCTTATTTTTATATATAATAACCATGTCTATTATTACCAACAAACTGCAAAAAATCATGTTATTGCTCTTTATCGCTTTAAATAGGTGATAAATTGTACTAGAGTTATATCTTCTACCTATCAGAAATTAGTTTAAAAGTTGCTAACCTCGATCCTGAAGAGAATGCTACCATCAGAAACCTGTTGACCAGCTGCGACTTCAAGGCCATGAACATAACCAGCAGATGGTGCCTTCACTACATGCTATTGACACAAAAAAAAAAAAAAAAAAAAAAAAAGATAAGATAATCACCTCTTTGCTTTAAGGAAAGAGATAAAAAAAATGCAAAAAGGTAAGTATTTCCAGAACAAACCTCCATCTTCATTGCTTCTAAGACTAATATTGGTTGCCCTTCCTCCACTTTCGTTCCATTATTCCCCAGAACCTTGACCACTAGACCAGCCATTGGTGCTACCACAGTCCCTGGAGGATGTGATGTCTCAGAATTGACGTTATGTCGCATTTCTTCTTCTTCACAAAGCTCAAAGCCTAATTGTTGCGTGAAATGATGATGTTGTGATCCATGCCATATATGAATGTGCTTAGTTTGATCCTGTTATACATAGCGTTATTGAAGCCGTAGTTCATGGATGATCAGAGAAAGAACATGGAGACAACATCATTATCAACATAAACAATAGTCGACAATGAACACAGGAAGCTATCAAACTGAAGGGAATGCTCTATGACATGTATGGTAGGATGTATCACAATGGATGTCTGGACAAAAACATGGTAACTGATTGAGTTGTAGACTCTGTTTTATTAAATCGACTCAATAAGAATGAGTCGATCACTCTTCCTTCCCATTGGGACGGATGGGGATAAAATAGAGCAGGTCAACAAAGTTCTATTCCTTTATTTTTTTTTATTACGGTTACTGGACTGCTCGCTAAACAGATTATCTGCAAAAATAAGTAAATCCCCCAAAATGCATTCAAATTAATCGGACAATGGCTGGTTTTACTGCAAAGAGTTTATCAGTGTAAAGGCTATATGGTTGATATTGATAAAATTAGAGAACACGTAAAAAGCCCGATGAAATCCATGCTTATGGCATTAAAATCCTATGTGAATCCTTGCACATCATGAACATTGGGAAGAACTGACCTTAGAGTAAGTAGCTAGAGTGACATTGCTGCCTACACCATCAACTTCAACCCTGTAATCTTGATCACCTAGGAGTGTTACTTTGACTTCAAAAACAGTAGAGCTGTTTCCTCCCACCTGCACCATCCACATACAAATTCCTAAAGTGATGCCACAATGTGAGAAAAGATTAGTCAGACAATACGGAAAAAAACAGAGAAGTGTAGAAGAGGACACGAGGAAAGAACTAAAAGAACTAGAGAAGCATTCTTGGAAATCATATAACAGCAACTTCATGAACCACATAGGCATATCTTTTTGGGAAAAAAACAGATAGGTACATAAATCACATAGGTATCTCTGCGGAAAAAAGACAGAGGTAGGCATGCCTTAACCAGATAGTTTCCATCTGCCTGGTAACTGATGGAAATTGGTAAAAGCTTTGAGCCATTGCTATCATACATGCTTTCCCACTGAAAGGTCCATACTACGCTGCGCAAAATGATGGACTCTAAAAGGAGGATGAGAACGCCATAAGGAAAGTAATTTGTCAACCCCTGGATAAGTTTTCATGGAAAGATATTAGTGGGCCAAGTAAAGGACTGACCAGTTGTCAATATACACAGCTTCTACTTACCAGGGGGACTTTCCTTCAAGTAGATTGTCGTTTTTGCAACACA